CTTAACTCTATTACAACACAATGATATGTCCAATTTTGTTGAAAGACTGCAATGATATACTGAATAGCCTGCATAATAGAATAAAGTTATTCTTTATTCCTTATATGGATACAAGGTCATTCAGATATCATTGGCAATCAATCATTGGAAAGCTGATGAATATGCAAGAGCAACAGATAGAACCAGAACACATGTGTGAGATCTCTAGAAACCATGCTAAGCAAATTCTTAAGGACTACCTACTAAGCTAATAGAAAATAACTGGACGCAACCAGGGAGATAAGAACACGCTAAATGAATAAAAGAAGATTATTTGCTAAACGAACTGCAGAATGAATCGAATCCAGCAAGTCGAACGCTATATGTATATTAGTCTTAACTGGACACTTAAAACTTAAGAGAAGTGTGTCTTTGTGTTACATGAAATCCTAATCATAAAATACTAATGACACCAAAACACCTACTATGTGAATTTGAGCTGCTTTTACACAAACAAAGTATTCATTTGTGACAATAAATAATACGCCAGGAGGAAATCAAATATCTAAAAGCTAGTAATATTTTAAACAACTTAGAATCTATCGAGCTAAAAAATATGCTGTAATTTTTGTGGAGCGATGAGTTTTAGGTTGCAGTGACTACAACAGTTCCATTGAAAAATGAATTATCCTAAAATTTTCATCAATAGAATAAAATCTTAGCTCTCCTTGTGGATTCAGAGTATTCAAAAGTTTAATACTATAGAAACTGTGTAGCACCGACACAGCGTTACTGTTTACATTACAGAATTACCCACTCGCACGAAAAATAATGTGGTATGTGTAACCAAACACGGCGCGAGCGCACAGAGGAATTCTGAAGAAACTTATTACAATAACCGACCAGATGAAATACATTGACACTAACTGAATACATAATGGGTCTCAGTTGTGTTTATGTTTTCGAGTCATCAATCATGTTCTTTTTCTAAATTCCTGAAACAGTAGTCATGGGTACCTAAGCTGTCAAAAACAAAAAATGTTAACAATTTGGAACTACTCATAAACGTTTAAAGACGTTAATGAATGACAGATATTATAATCATGGGAATTTAAAAGAGAGAACTTTAGATTAAAAAAATAAATGAAAATACAGAACAAAAAATAAAAACAGCTACTACCCTGTCAATACACGACCACGACGAAAAGTACAAAAAGTCAAAAAACTCATTGCAGTCATGGGAGAATTTTACAGAATACTTATTACTCTACTGGCAAAAAATGGTTACGATTTAAGGAGTTCATTTAAGTAACATCCCACCAAAAACATTTCCATGTAAAATGTTGTCAAGAGGAGACCATATGACTCGCACTATCAATGAGGTTATCAGATCTCATGCCCTAACGGTCTAACTTCACAAACAACTTAGTTAAAATATGTGGCTTGATGATGCCACATATTTTAACTAAGGTGTAGAGATTGTGAAGTTAGACCTTGTAGAGTTAGGACATGTAGAGTTATAAGATTGACTCTACATTAAATCTAATAACTTTTGGACAGTGCTAGTCATATGGTCTTGTCTTGACCACATTTGACATAAAATATTGTTGGTAGGATTTTATTACTTTATGTAAGTTAGTTGTGATTTTTTTTAATTTATAATGACAAGGTGTCCCTATATCAATTTTCAGACCTCCAGCGTCAAAATTGCGGAAGCCTCATACTTACAAACTTCCATTATAAAATTCCATAATACAAGTTTAAGGGGTTGTGAGATACGAGTTACAAATTTTATATTTTTTTTCTGTACACTAATACCAGCTTACATACTAAATTTCAGCTTTCTAGGACATTAGAAAATACCCTAAGAGTTTTCATGGTCATCATTGAGGCAGTGACGAAATCAGGGATTTTTAAATATCAATAAAATCTAAAGTATAAGAGTTATGCAGTTAAATCTTAACCCCCCTTACTAAAAATCATACTAAATTTAGTCTTGGTTTAAACCTAATGTTGTCTTTGCCTTCTTTTTAGCAAACAAAAGTGACAGTATCAGTATTAGTCTTGGTTTAACTTTAGTTTACGTGTTATAGTAAGGCCGAATAGGTTTAATAAGTCCGCTATTGACAACATATCCCGAGAGTTTTGTGTATCTGGTATAATATAAAACTCAAGGTATAAGGGTTCAAAAAATGCCCTTGCGCTTCGCTTGGCTCGTCTTGTGTCCTTGGGGGGCACTACCGTGCCTCCAGATATGTATAATGTTTGTATGTATGTGCGTTTCTTTATTCCATCACACCTTAAACGATTGAAGAGATTTGGATGGGCAAAACATCGTTTGAAACCTTATATCATCGCACATATCACAGGCTTTGATTTTTTTATTAAAATTATGCGAGTGGAGATGGTCCCCGACTGTAGTCTATCTATCTATCTATATATATTTATATATAAAACTCAAAGGTGACTGACTGACATAGTGATCTATCAACGCACAGCCCAAACCACTGGACGGATCGGGCTGAAATTTGGCATGCAGGTAGATGTTATGACGTAGGCATCCGCTAAGAAAGGATTGTGATCAATTCTACCCCCAAAGGGATAAAATAGGGAATGAAACTTTGTCAAATGTTTCCGATTTATTAAAGTCCCGCAGTAAAATACTCCTTAGTATAATTTACGACCCTTTTTTACCCCGTTAGGGGTAGAGTTCCAAAGAACTCAGATACATTTTTAATATTTCGGTCTTTATTTCAGGTCTCAAGTATAAATACTGAGTTTAAAGTTAATCGAAACGCACTTTAAAATTCATCCATAGTATTATTCGAACCCAGTTTTATGTTTTTTAATTTTAAGAATAAGATTATGCATACAATTGTTCATCCCCTTTTTACCCTCTTAGGGGCAGATTTTTGAAAAACTTTGATACACGGTTTTCTTTATTTCTGGTCTAGTTAAAATATCAAGTTTCAAGTTAATCGAAATGCGTGTAAAAATCATCCATGTAAAAATTTCGACACCCTCGCAATCCCCTTTTATTTTAGGAAATTTAAAAATTACATTTTTTAAATTTATTTAGATAAGTAATCGTGCCAAGTTTGAAGTCTTTCAACTCGAGGAATATTTTTTCATACAAACTTTCACTTTTTCTTAACCCTTCAGGGGTGAATTTCCTTTCTTGGTGCCCTCTTAGACCTCAAAAAAATTAAAAACACTAAAATATTTATCAAACAACCCAAGCGAAAATATATAGACGTCAGTGAAAAAAATAACAATTTGACAGACCGTCCCCAAATTATAAAAAAAAAAACGATCTTCCTCTTTTCCAATTTATCAAAACTCGCACAAAAGTTTAATACAGATTAATAACTATTTATCACACTGTCATCGATCTATACAAGTGGAAGCCATAGAATAAATGTCATATTTGCACGTAAAGCGTGTAACATCTGACATTATGTGTGTTAAACCGTGGACAGTACTGCAGCGTGTCACTTAGTAAAGCAAAAAATCTTTAATTTTATTGATATCAATACAAACAGCGTGCAAGTTAAATAGATTCAGGCAGTTGAATGAAAATAAAAGGGACTTCCTTTTATTTTTCAACGCGCAAGCTATGAATGACTAATATGCATGATGATCATGCACGTTGACATGAATGCATGGGATGCAGCAAATTAATCTCTCTCCCATTCAATCAGAAAATGACAAATATAACGTTCATTACCTATCTCATCATAATATTTTAACATTTCGCTGTTAGCGCCGCATGTCGCGTGCAGAGGCCCAAACTCCAATATTGACAGCTCCGTTATATCGCAATATCAATATTTGTGTGAAAACTTAGCAGCCCTACAGGACGTAAGAACAAAATATTATAGTGCAGGATATAATATTTGGCGTTGATAATACGATTATGGTGCTGTCAAAATTCGTGCCTCTGTTCAGTATTGTTTTTAATTTAGGAATAGGCACTTATGATTTTATTTATCACAGTTTTTCTTTCATATAATTGACAAAAATTGATAATGGTGCGTCGTCGGTTTGTTCACGTGAAGTGTCACAAAACTGCGTCTGCATTGGTATTTACGTATGTCAAGATGATCGACATGTGGTCGCGTCGTAGATACTATTTATACTATCCATACAACAAAAAACACTATTTAACTAGAGCTAAAAAGTCTTTTGTAATTTAATTGTTGCTTGCTAGGTACTTCTAAAGATTTATTATATTAGCCGATCAGATGTGACACTAACAAAATATAGTAATATAAGTTATTTACGGGATTGTTACCATGTACCTTGTTTTTAGCGAGTTTCCGATATTTCGGCACTGTTGCAAGCGCCATGATCACGGAGTAACTCCGTGATCATGGCGCTTGCAACAGTGCCGAAATATCGGAAACTCGCTAAAAACAAGGTACATGGTAACAATCCCGTAAATAACTTATATTACTATAATGTTAGTGACCATGAAAGTTTAAAACAATATAACAAAATATAGTCGCAGTTGTGTTCATATTTTCATTGCAAGTAAATTTATTTATTGCATTCTTTAATATCTATGTAAAAACATGATGAGGTATGCGATATTCAACATCATTTAAGTTTATACCATCCCTACACACAAAACTAAGATTTTAAAAAATCGTGTCCGCTATTGTTTGCCAGTTGGCTATAGATACTATAAAAAAGGTCTAATAACAATGTGACACATGCAGTTGAGAAGCTCGATGGCACAAGAGTCAGAGCGTTCGGTCTTCCATCGTGGAGGTTATGCAAATTTCGTAATAGACGGTCATATGTTGGGTGATCAAAAATATGCTATCTCGAGCTGTTTATCCTGCTTTTGAAGTCGTTAGAACCCACCAACTAGCACTGGGCCTGCGTGTTGAGCCATGGCCCTTTCTCAATCCATAGGAAAATCTTGAGCCCCAGCAGTGGGAACATTAATAAGCTAATGATGAACATATACAGTTAACTGTTAGTTTCACAAGATCACAGAATATAATGCGACTGACCTGAGGCGTCCAGGTAGCAGCGGCGCGACTGGAGCTGCGGCTCCGCGTGCGCCAGAGCCGCTTGCTGACGCTCTGCACCACACTACTAGAAGACCGCGACTTCTGCATGCCACCTGCGGCAGGGGACACAGCTGGAGCACTTCGGCCCAGTAACGTTGAGAGGAACGAATGCGACCCGGTGGGGGACATTGGCGACGCCGGAGACGTCGGTGTTGAAGCCACAGACGCGAATTGCAAGTCCCTATACGTCAAAATCCAAGCCTCCTCCGTCTGACAACCTTTGTGCGGCCCATCGTCATCCACCTCACCGGGCATACGAGGTTTTATGTTTCTCAGATTCTTGTCGTAGTTAATACGCTTGAAGCGATCTGCTTTGTCAGCATCTACGCTTTTCTTGCGAGCCATTCGGAGATACCGCTTGATGGTGTCGCTTACAGATTGTGACACATCATCATGATCTACACTAGACCGCCGTCTTGCCGGCTTGCGGTCCGGAGGCGGGCTTGTCGGGCTCGTGGGTGCCGTAGATGCTTCTAACTTCTCGCGATACGCTCTATCGATCTCTGACAACACTTCCTCCGGGATTGGTACAGTTTGCGTACCACAATCTACATATTTGTCTTCCATGGATTCACTGAACACTTCTATTAGCGGCGGGGGAGACATCGGTGGCGATCGTATAGAGTCCTCGCCATCGTTAACACGTGATACTCCACCGAGTCTATACGAAAAATTTCTGGTGTTAGAGTTCGGTATTGTCGTAAGTCCACTAGGTCGGTAACCACTACCACCAGCACCACCGCTTCTACCACCTCGGTAAGGCTTAGTCTTACGAAGGTCATGATACAGTCTTTTTAAAAGGTTTCTATCGGTCAATAAGTCCTGCACTATGTGATCCCTGTTTGGCGAGCGACCATAATATCGTCCCAGGTTCTCTAGCAGAGACCGCTGCATCGGGTCTCCATCAGAATCAGCAGGCGCATTATCCGCCTGCCTTTTCAAATACCTCCGCAAAACACGCACTAATTCTTCGGAGTCCGATACCTTGGAAACTCCTGTACTTTCTTCTAATTTCAGGTACTTTCGCAATAAATCGACTAGACTACTGTCGTCATCTTCCTGCGAAGGTTCTTGGTGATCGTTGGCCTCTCGTAGTGAAGAGCTCGATCCGTCATGGAACCTCGAACCACTATACCTGGAAGGAAATCCAGAGCCAGATGGCGCTGACGGTGGGGCTGCAAAGAAATCTCGACGAAGTTTCGCTATGTCAAATCGGCCGCCGGAGGTGTGAGAGATGAACAATTCTGTAGGGCGTACCGGTGCCGGGAGCGCGTCATCGGAAGGCGAACGTGCACGCACGGAGCCACCGCGAGGTCGCTTTTTGCGGCGCGGTCGCGGCACCGCTCCCGGGTACGAGCTCTTTCGCCAGAGTAGAAACCGAGGCTCTTTGGCGCACACGTCTTGGAAATAGGCCTCGATGCGTGGAACATCCTCTAGCCTGTTCTGTGCTCCGTCTGGAATGAGCCGGCGGCCGGCATCCGACATGTACTTCCATGTCTTTCTAGTGAGGAGCCAGCGCTCGCGCGGCTTCTCGCGGCGGCGCGCCACCTTCGTCATGGGATCGGGCGCGTCGGGGCGGGCGGCGCGGCGGCGGCGCTCCATGGCCGCGGGTCACATCTGGTCAGGGGGTCCGCATGTCCGACCTCGGCTCGCGCACCTGCCCGCGCGAAACTGAACACTGCTCCGCACCGTTCGGTATATTATGCGCCGAAATAGCTGTCTGTTAATAGAGCGGCCGTGAACTGAATGTAGGGTGCGCGCGCGGCGGACCGGCGCTCGCGGCGGCTGCGCGCAGGACTGCCGCCCGTAAACACAACGGGCCGCCCACGCGCCGCCGCTCGCCGCCCGCCCGACCGACTCGCGCCGCCCCAGCCCGACGGCCGGCGACCGGTCACCGGCGGCGTATAGCTGGCTACCATCACGCCGCGCCACAGCTTGGATGCCGTCAACGCTTCCTTGACCTATGCGACCAACCAAAGTGATCGATGATCCTACTGCTCTTGCAGCATCCTTTCTACCAGTTTATTCATAGCAGTCATGCGCTTGAATGACTAAATTCGGCACCATTTATCTAAGAATAGCTCACTGTATTGAGTATGTGTCATGATTGACACACAGAACATGCCAGCTATTATGTGTGACATAGTTTCATTTTAGTTGCGGAAGTCGCCAGATTACGTCGGGTTGGAGAGGATATGCTCGCCAATTGTTTATAATACATGACTTCACGTGTTTTATTGTAAGTAGTATGAATATTTTCATAATATGCAGCTACGTACTTTGCTTGGATTAATCCAAGGTTTTTATTCAATTATTATCACTCGAATATACTTTTCGTCAGTTGAAGAAATACTTTGTTGTGTTGTGAATTTCAGTAATTCAATTAACTGTTCATGATTAACAAACAACTTTGCATATTTTATCATGTGTACTGTATGTTGCACATTAAGATCTCATTTGTCTATCTTAGGATACGTCATTACTACTTAAGGCGGTATTAAAAATAGGCAGCAAGTTACCTTTTCCTCTATGATTTTCAGTTATCACTATATAACAACAACTTTTTTATTTCACCTCCGATCATTCCATCCGTCTCTTGGTCATTTCCATTTACCTGTTCAACCGTCACCAATCACATCTTTTTCTTTTCTATTACCGTTGCATCCAGTTTTTACTACAGTATGAAACATATCAATATTTAATATGATTTTAAGTTAAAGGGTGGCAGAGTGGCAAGCACCCACCCTTATGGCCCGCTGGCTGGCTGGTGGTAAGCTGCCACCATAGTCTATAGACGCTTGCGATACCAAAAATATCACTTTTTATTTTACTTTAGCAGTTTGCCCAAAGAATTGAATCGTTTGCCTACGGAGGCCCCTAAATCTCCCCCCCCCCCCCCCTCACCCCCTCCTAGAAATTTGTTTGTGGGGGCCTCTAGGTCACAGTCCCGCCAGCCCTGACCTGCCTGGGCCTAAAAAATGGAAGTGATTTTTTGTCATTATGCTCTTTTTTAATATAAATTGGATCTCTACTAAATAATGTTTTCTCATTTTTTATACAAGATTTTCAAAGCTCTTGGTCACTCTCCCTTTTTGAAATTTTAAGTGTCCGTCTATCTGTCTGATTGTCAGGTCGCTGTATCCCTAGAATCATAATATGTACGCTGTTGGAAGTCTTTTCAAAATACATATATTAGAAGCTTTAACAAATACAATGAAAATAAAAGATTAAAGAACCTATCGCTGTTTTTGCTGCACCTTAGTAACCATCTTGCGTATTTGCATTTGACCGATATTCAATTTTCATTGATTTCTCTGAAATATTTTAAATATGCTCCCATTCATTCTCAATTTCTCATAGTAATAAAAAAATAGACATTGCTAAATAGCTTACTTATGCCTTAAACAACTACAAATGAATTCTATAAATTACAAAGACATTCGTTTGTCTTCTACCAGATAAAACAGGGAGAAAAAAACAGCCCTTGATGGCGTATCTTCTAGACATTCATATGTGCTTGTAACAGCCGAAACTGAATAAATGATTTTGATTATGATTGATTATGATTATGATTATTTTTATTATGATTAATATTTTTCCTTAGAATGCACAATTCATTCATCTACTTGCATTCATATTATTACCTAAGTAGTTTCACGTCTTACATCTCGTCGCGTTTATGTAAGTGGTTATTATTAGAATAATTTTATGCTACTTGATGTTATTACCCACAAAACGTAACAACAACAGAAATTAACGAAATGTTTGTATTACAATATTCGTGTAATTACATCACTTGCATTTCAATATATTAAGTACACGGCCGGCCATATTTGAGCAGTTAATACTGATGTATCGAGTTTCATAATAAACATTATCGGTTCTCTTACATTTTGTTTATTGATTAATCCAATGCTTAAATATACAATTCATTTTTTATGCTGTTGCTAGTGAGATGTATTTATTGATCCGCCAGCTGATCCTTTATAAACATTTTGTCATTTTATTATGCACGGTGAGCTGAAATAGCAAACTTTTCAGAGAAAATTGTAGCTTTTACTATAGCGAATATATTTGATAACAAAAAGTTACGATATGTATTTGTGAACCAATTCTTTAAACATATCTATATCTATATCATATAAGGGATACAACTTATATTACCTGTTGCTTATATAATTTGAATATATCAAATAAATATTTATATAAGGCCAAGTAAACCACAGCAAATTTTAGTGAAAATTTTGTGTTAAAATAATTGTTATCAGTTACAGTAAACCAATGTGTAAGCTTTGATTTACTTTATTTTCAGACGGTATTTTTCTTGTTGTGACAAAAATCAAGTCGATACAAAGTGTATTTTGACAACAAAACACTTTGTGGACGGACGTAAGAAAATAATCCACAGAATAAAAAACAAATTTGAAAAACGTTTTATTGGCGTGCAGAATCAATAAAAGTCGGGCGTAAGAGATTTGGAAGCGTCTGGACGTTGCAGCATAGCATAGCGAACCGCGTACTTTAGTCCAGTCAACAAGTTCAAAAACGTGAAAAATAGAGATAAAGCTCCTAAAAATATGAGCAATAGCTCATTGGATTCGTAACGACCTCTAGAAAAATGAGTTTTGAGGATTTTACTGCACGTAAAAAATTGCAATTGTTATTAACAAAATAAGATGAAAAAAAAGAGGTATTTACGTTTTTGTTAATAATTCATAAACTATTAATATTTACGATATTTGGGAAAAAGGTCCTTAAAGAAGAGGAAATTTACGAAATAAAAGTCCCAGCTCCCGGAACTCTACCTCTATTATTTATAATTTTAATTTAACGCTGAAAATAGGGCTCCGCGCAGCCATTACGGCATGGGCGCACTGCCGTTAAAGACAGTTTCTTACATAAAATTATTTTTTTATAGTAACAAATATGAATTTAAAAATTTAAATAAATTATGGTGTCATCCAGATACTTGAAAGAATATATTCCCCTTGGAAATTTTTTTTTTAAATTAATTTTTCAAAAAGTTATGCAATTGTTAATTAACGAATTTTTTTCCTATCTCCGTTTTCATAAATGACGACATAAAAATTTAAATAATAAACCTATAAATTTTTGGCTCTGTGGAGCTCTTCTTATATATATACTTAACAAGATCCCGCGATAAAAGTTTATTAAAGTTAATTATTTTGTTTATAACAATTTTTTAAAGTTAACAAAAAATGAAAAGTCTAAGAAATGTTATTAAAAAAATTTTTTTAAACAAATGTTATATTATTGCTGCTTTCTTATCCAACAATGGCATTAGGTAACATCGGAAAAAAAATTTTTACATCATTTGTTAAGAAATTGTTTATAAACAAATAGACAAGTTTAATATTTAAAGAAATTGTTTTTTTACCATTATGTTGTCTTAGCAAAATAAGGATTTTTAAAAAAAAAAATTTTTCTTAAATGAATTTTTTTTTTGTTTATAATCGTTTTTTTATATTTCGATTGTTTAAATAATTAGTTAAGGAATGATTTTCTCTTTAAAAATCATAATTGGCATTTCTTCATAGGTAAATAGAAAAAAAAAAAAAAATATCAATAATTTCATTGTTTGTTAACTTAACAATTTGTTATAAACAAACTCTAACTACCGTTATATTTTTTTTCTAGAGCTAAAAAAAATAGCAAAAACAGCCATATATATCAAAATACTAAAAAAAATTTTTTTCTATTTTTTATAACGCTTTTAAATATTACACGATACCAAAGTTGCACCGGACACTTGATTTGTCAAGTAAAAAATTAATATAACTTATAAACTATTCGAGATACGACAATGGACATTCAGGTCGTTTTTATAAAGCATTAATTAATCTTCAAAATAAGCTAAAAACCAAGTTTGTAACTATTGTTTATCAGCTAATACATGCATTTGTTTATAACATTTTGAGAATTCTTTAACTTTTTCGTATCTCTTATGACTTACAACTTAATAAATAATTAAAATACAGCTATAAACCTTAAAACAATTTTGTTTAGCGATACATTATCTCCCAAATTATCAATTAATCGTACCTCCATCTCTAATTGTTTAAACAATATACGTGACTTAATTAATATTTATTTAACTCGTGTTCAATTTAACATCGAGGTAATAATTTGGGAGATAATGTATCGCTAAACAAAATTGTTTTAAGGTTTATAGCTGTATTTTAATTATTTATTAAGTTGTAAGTCATAAGAGATACGAAAAAGTTAAAGAATTCTCAAAATGTTATAAACAAATGCATGTATTAGCTGATAAACAATAGTTACAAACTTGGTTTTTAGCTTATTTTGAAGATTAATTAATGCTTTATAAAAACGACCTGAATGTCCATTGTCGTATCTCGAATAGTTTATAAGTTATATTAATTTTTTACTTGACAAATCAAGTGTCCGGTGCAACTTTGGTATCGTGTAATATTTAAAAGCGTTATAAAAAATAGAAAAAAATTTTTTTTAGTATTTTGATATATATGGCTGTTTTTGCTATTTTTTTTAGCTCTAGAAAAAAAATATAACGGTAGTTAGAATTTGTTTATAACAAATTGTTAAGTTAACAAACAATGAAATTATTGATAAAAAAATTTTTTTTTTCTATTTACCTATGAAGAAATGCCAATTATGATTTTTAAAGAGAAAATCATTCCTTAACTAATTATTTAAACAATCGAAATATAAAAAAAACGATTATAAACAATAAAAAAATTTATTTAAGAAAAATTTTTTTTTTTAAAAATCCTTATTTTGCCAAGACAACATAATGGTAAAAAAACAATTTCTTTAAATATTAAACTTGTCTATTTGTTTATAAACAATTTCTTAACAAATGATGTAAAAATTTTTTTTCCGATGTTACCTAATGCCATTGTTGGATAAGAAAGCAGCAATAATATAACATTTGTTTAAAAAATTTTTTTTAATAACA